GATTCCAACTGACCAATCCAACTGATTGCTAGATTCCAATTGACCAATCCAAACAATAACCAACTCAGTTTGTCTTACCAACACAATTGTTTGTCTTACTAGATGCAAAACTGATATGTTCAGTGTATCATAACTGATTTGTTCAGTGTAGCATAACTGATTTGTTCAATGTACTAAATGCAAAACTGAAAGCAGGAACTTGTTTGTGTTACCAACACAGTTGCATTGATTTGTTCAGTGTAGCATACTTTACCTCGTTCAATATTTTAGCATTTCATCCTTTATTCAGATTTTAATTTTGCCATTTCTGCACCAACTGGAATTGAATTTATTCCATGTCAATACAATAATGTTATTTACATTGTGTTGATTTACAGATTGACAATGTATGTTGCAAGTTCAGAGCCAAAACCTTGGACCATCCGGATTTGATTGAGCGTGTCTTCACTGGCGCTGCGACTACAAGGAAAAATGCATGGACACCCGGTGAGACTCATAACCCAATTGAGTTGGACAGAGAGTCTGACAGTCTAGAAATTTCCAGTGATAGCAATGAATTAGGCTCATCGGAAATGGCTGACATGATGAACTCCGCCAACATCAATGTCACGGGTAGTGGAAGCAAGAGGAAGCATTCCTCGGCCAACACATTGCAAAACAAGCGCATTATCGGGGATGCAGCGTTGGCAAGCAGCATGGACAACTTGGTAAATTCTGTGAAGACTCAGAGCAAGAAACTAGTTGTCAACCACGTTGTTGGGGCGCACAATTACACTATGGGCCAGGCTGTTGGACGGCTGTATGAAATACAGGGACTAGACCTTGTCGATCCACTTCTCCATTTTGAAGTCATTCTCATAGAGGTTCCGAACAATCGGGAAATGGTTATGAGTATTCCCACGGACCAAGGCATAATCGGGTGGCCACAAGCGAAGAAACAAGACAAAGAAAGGAATGGGGGTATCACTCTTGCGAGTCTGCTGCGCAATGAAGGAATTCCGTTTTAAATCTGCATAGGAAACAACTCTGAAATTTGTTTAATTTCAGTTGAATTGTGAACTGTTTTTTTTTTTCTTATGTTTAATTTCAGTTGAATTGTGGTTTGACAATGGATTGGGCAGGGGTCATGGCTGTGGACCCATTGTCCTTAACTTGACTTGTGATATGTTTGTCTTTACATTTTGTTTTGTTATGCTATAAATGCTGCAGGGTTGGAGTAAATGTGGTAATCCATTTTTTATGCCATTTTTCGAATTTCCAATGTGTTTGCGCAGGTTGTTCATGTAAAATTATGTACAATGTGGTATTCCATTAAAATATGTACAATGTGGTTTTTGTGTGTTGCACTTATGAAATTAATTATTTATTAAAAGTAACGAAATTATGAAATGATTAAAATTATGAAAAATGCATGTTGGTTTAAGACATGTTTGTAACTGTTTGTGATTTATGACATTTTTTGGTACATCATGATTGGTAGGGGTTTCAACATAAAAGTTCATTATTTTCAAAATTTGCTTTACATTCACATTTTTCATATGAAATTTCATGCTCCCAACATGTTCTTACTACTGCCATCACTACTAGTTGATAATGTTTTGTGGTTATCGTTGTAGGTATGAACAACGACATTGACGACACCGCACAGATGAATCAAATGTTAGACGATGTCGCAGCTCTCGCAATACAATGGCAACATGAAATGAATTGTGCATATGTTAAAGCCTACAGAATCGCCACTGACTACTACAAGACGTACGTCCTTAAAGTCCCATGCCGCACTTCCATATTTTCCATATTATACAATGGTCACAGTGGCCGCTTCCGGTACGAATTGTGCATGCCCAAACATGTGTTCATTTGGTTATGTATGACATTGGTAAACGACTTCCAGTTACGTGTACCCGAGCGTCCGCACGGCTTGCACGTCGAGGAGAGTGTTGCAATATTCATTCACGTGCTTAAAAACTTGCCAAACCGGGAGTTACAAGAACGATTCCAATATTCCGGGAAACTATTTCACGCCATTTTCATAACGTTTTGAAAGCAATGAAAAAACTCACTATCGCTCACTGCAGGCCCCCTGCTAATTTCCAGACACACAGGCATCTCCATTTACAGTCTCAACCATAATATATGCCGTTCAAAGTGTGGAAAAATATTTTGTAATGTTTTGAAAAATGCTCGGTATGAACATGATCGGTAATCTTATCATTGCATTTGTTTTATTAATATATAGGATTGCTTAGGCGCATTGGATGGGACACATGTGCCGACATGCATAAAGGAGTCAGAAGCAGCCACATACTTCAACCGAAATGCGTGTCACACCTAGAATATTTTGGCGGTCTGTGATTTCAATATGTGCTTCGTGTTTGTCTCGTGCGAGTGGGAAGGCAGCATGCACGACAGCCGAGTTTTAAGCAATGTAACGGAGGATCCATAGTACAATTTTCCAACTGCAACTGACAGTACGTACACCCGAATCCACAATACAATTTTTTATTTATATATTTTTTTAACATATGTATATAAATAAATTTTTTAAAAATACTAATATTTAGAATAAAATGTCAAGGGAATTTTTAAGTTACAGAAAGTAATAGTGATTTTGTTTTGAAAATGAAGTGATTACAACAAATTATATTTTTATGTATGAAAATTTTATGAAACAATCTCAATATGAAGGTAATATCCATCATTATTGATATGCCAATATAATTAATCTCACTAATATATATGTAAAAATGTATCAGACTTAAATATATCACTGTTTTTACATTATATAATTTGATTTATCTTACCATTATAAATAACTTTAAATTTGATTTATCTTACCATTATATAATTTATTTTAAGACTACAATATATGACTGTTTTTACATTGTCCATGATAAACTAGTTACACGTAATATTTTGTGTTCGATTTTACTCGGAATTAATTATAAAATATTATGTGAAATACTTTTATAATAATTTAGGGTACTTTTTGGATATATTATTTAAAAAATTATTGTTAGCTTCTTATTGTTGGTTATGGAAAGAAAAAAAAAAAGTTGTAATCAAGAAATGCCCTTTCTAAGTTAGTTTCCTGGCTCCGCCACTCCTTGTCAATACATAATTCAATTATGGAGATACAATTGTTGTGAAATAAATGTATGCAACTATGGATAAGTTATAATTTATATTGTATGCGAAGTGAACATAGGTCATGAGTATTACGTAATTTACATGTGCACTTTCACATGTCGCTATTGCCTTGTGGATAGTGGATACAACAACTAGAAGGGCTTTCTGACACCATACAAAGGCAACAGGTACCACCAACTGGAATTTCAAGGGCACAACGGAACCGTGATGAGTTGTTCAACCGCGCGCACTCATCTTTGCGGAGTGTGATTGAGCGTACCTTCGGCGCTTGGAAGTCACGGTGGAGATTTCTTAAAGACATGCCTCTATTTGATTTTCGTAAAGTGCAGGTGCCATTGATTGCAGCGTCCATGGCTTTACATAATTTCATACGCAGAAATAGTGTGGACGACAAGATTGTTGTTGCTGTCAGCAGTGCGGTCGAGTACAGATACGCGGACATGCTTGACCGAGACGATTTGGTTGCCCTTGACGATGCAATGATGCCTGGAGACGATGACGTTGAGACGATGACGTTGTTGCTGTCAGCAGTGCGGTCGAGTACAGATACGCGGACATGCTTGACCGAGACGATTTGGTTGCCCTTGACGATGCAATGATGCCTGGAGACGATGACGTTGAGATGACGCAGTTGCGGGCGTGTATCAGGGCGGAGGTAGTTGCAATTTGGCGAAATGCTCGTTAGGTAGACATGTTTTGTAATGCATGTCATCACTGTGTTGTGTTCAAATTAATTAGAGAGGACTATTTGTGTATATTGCTTACCAATTATGTACGAGCATGTATGTCATTGTTTTTGTACAACTATGGAATAGAGACTTGGTTATGATTTCAGGTTGCTTACCAATTATGTAAAGGGTTTCGTCAACTCATAAATTTCAGGTTGGTTATGAATTCCCGAAAACAAAAAATTTCCCAAATAAAAACATTTACGTACTCAAGTTTTGTATAGAGTTAGGCTATGATTTGTTTATGACTTTGGAATAGAGACTTGTAAAAATTATTTTCCTATTTTATCTATATTTTTGTACTGTTCACAATTACATCACATAAATTACAATCCATATGACTAGTCGTTTGAGAATATACTATTTTACTATTCCTCATTTTTGGACTATATTAACAAGTAAAAAAAATTAGTATGTCTGGCTGCCTTTGCTGTAATTTTTTTTGAAAAGCTCTACAAAAAGTAGATCTTTAGAGAATTACAGGACTTCTCTATAGCCTTTGTTGGATTTTTTGATTTTTTTTTTTTAAATTGATTTTTAACGTAAAATGTAATGTTTCATAAAAAAATATTATTACATCACACAAAGTACAATCCATATCTCATATTTATGAAATTTTAAAGTATATTATGTAAATATTATGTACATAATATTACATCACACAAATATATTTAAATAAATTTTTATATTACTTAAACATATTTAAATATATTTTTGTAGTACACAAATATATTTTTATATTATTTAAATATATTTTTAAATATTATTCAGAGTACACAAATATACTTTCATATATTTAAATACATTTTTATTACATCACACAATTTGACCGTTGTGCTATATATTTTTATATATTTGTGACTCTTGCAGAAGCCATCAAGTCTGACGCATCACAGGTACTACGCACGCTATAAGGCCATTTCGGTCATTTTACCCACTGGATATTATTTATTTTATTTCAGTCTTTTCGTAAAAAGTTAAAAAATTTATCCCAAACCAATTAAAATTTTTTTTTCTCATACTTTTATAAAAAAAAATCAAAAAATTACTAAAATAGTCGGTTTCCAAACAGACCTCAATCTAATTTAATAGGAAATCTTGAGCCAAGACATTTCCCAAAGATGATTGAAACTAAGTACCTAAAAATAGATGATTGAAACCATAATACAATCTGAATCTAATGGTTCTCCTAGTTAGGATGCAAAGACAAGAAAAAGATAGATAATCAACACCTTTAAACCCTTTCAACAAAGTGCTATGTACTGGGCAGAACCAACAAGCAACAATAATTACATGGAATCACAAAGGACACAGAAATTTGCAAAACTAAAAGACCAAGTAGACAACATACAGCAAAACAAGGTCTCCACCCGAAAGATACTCCTAACAGCAGCAGAAAAAAGGTGTTTCCCTCAGCCAAACAAAGCTCAATAGCTGTGGTCCTCATCAAAATACGTGTAATTGCTACTCCTGAACTTGGTTTCCCTATCCTGCACAGCCGGAGAAGGGGGGAAAAAAAATGAACCAGGTCAGAAGAGAAAGCATGAACTTATACCCAGCGACACCAATACATTCAAATGCATGCTATAGATTATCAAGAGTACAATATCTTAACCAGTGAAGCTAATACAGCTCATTTCTCTTTCAGTCCAGCAATTTCTAGATCATAATAGCTCCCCTGGGTATGTAGAAGGGTAAATTTTCCAATAGAAAACGTATCATATCATGTTATGAAAACAAATGCAACCTTATTGTCTTGCTCATCACTTTTCCTCAATTTCCATCATTACCAAAGCAGATGACAAAAATTTAAAATGCCAACTCGAATCATAGAATTCCGAATCCAAATATTCAGGCCCACTTGCTGTTGTTTCATTATTTAGCTGTTATTCTCATTTTTAGTTTTGTTCATTTTGCGGCCTTTTCAGAAAAGTCTAGCATATTTAGACTTCTTCAAATCCATTTTTCTTAGAACTATTTGTTCTTGAAACGAAAGAAAATAGGAAGCAGTGCAGAAATGTAGTTTTCAAACAGTTTTTAACAATTATTTTCTACAAAAAATCTGTTTAAAAAATTTGATTGTCGGAATATAGTTATAAAATTGTCTTTGCATTTTATAAAATAGTAATAATAAATTCATTGTACAAAATAAAAACAACATAAAACAGTAATTTTTTGAACTTTTCTTCTTTTTTTTCATTCCACAAAACATGAAAATGAAAAGAAAAGAGAGTGAAAATGCAACAAAAAATTGTAATAATTTCTTCATGTTTTTTGGTTTTTATATGAATAGGAAGACATTGTTGTTGGGGATAAGTTAGAATGTCAATTAGACAGACCTTGCTAACAAGCTTCTCAAATGCTTCCGGGCCATGTTCTTCTATGTACTTCTCAGCAGCAGTTAGAATGTCATCTGGCTTACTGAAGATGTCCTTCTTCCTTGGGACATACCAGACGTTAACAGTCTGCTGTGGGTTAAGAAAGAAAGGCCTCAAATAATGCTCATAAACATATGCAGCACCACTGAAGTACGGTATGACCAACCAGCAGGTTACTAGCAGCTTTGTATATGACCAGAAAGGGATCCTGCCACACAACAAAAGACAAAAGAGGTTAGAGATTTTTACATGTGTGAAGCAAAGTCCCATGTTGCTTAGGTTTACTACACATATCTTCTTCTCTCTCTTTTTAATTTGGAGCCCTAGTTAGAGTCGCACATTCTAATTTATCATGCCACCACATTTCTCTCTTCCTGCCTGAACACAAGTTTTAGCCTTCAATTTGTTCTAGGAATCAAATCTCCACTTCTTGTGGATGCAACAGTTGGTACTCATTGGACAGGATAAAATCATCTTAAATAACATCTAATCATTTATTCATTAATAATTGGTGCAATCACTAGTTTCCAAAGAATGCACTAATCTATCCTTTCTGCATTGCCACTCGCCCATCACTTCTTATTACAACTACAATTAATTTAACACATTGTTTCTTACTGCCCAGCGGTTATATTATGAAGCATAATTGGCTTAGAAGTTGTTTTTTAGAAGTCTAATTCCCAATATTTAGGAATTCTACAGTCACAAAACATTTGAAAAGCTTTTTCTTATAGGAAATTGTGTCTCATTCTTTTAGGATAATTGGTCCATTTAGAAAATAAAAAGGTCGCTTCTGGTATATCTTGACCATGAATTTCAATTGTATTCAATTCTACTATTTTAAAGAGTTATGTTCCATATTTTCTATGTCACCAATTCTGAAGCCTTCCAAGTAAAGAACGGTCTCTACCAGTTTTTCTCTATCTAATACCTAACCACTGCACGCCCCTCTCAAGGGTCCAACTTGGACTTACACCCTGCTCCTACCCCCTTTGAGAGTGAATAGCCACCAAATATTGCATTTCCATGATGCTGCTAGACAATTCATCACCAAAAAAGGTCACTAGCAAAATGCAAACTCATCAATTAATATAAGAGCATCTTCCTCAACTATTTTTTTTCCTCAACTATTTTTTTTCATCAAATTTAAATGATAAAAAAAGTGCTCGGAAACTATCTCCAATCCATTCATCAAATGGTCATCAAATCAAAGGAGAAACATTTTTTTTCCCCCGTCAAATTGAGAATTTATCAAATCCTTCATCAAATATTTAAAAAGATGAAACATTGGAAATGATTTTTTTTCATCAAATTTGATGAAAAGAGAAGTTTGGGAAGAGGGGAATTTTTAAAAAGATTTTGACAAAAATTCGCTGAAAGGGTCGGAGTAGTTCATATCAAATCAAGCTTTTTACTAAATTTTGGAATCAAATTAGATGAAAAAAAATTGATGAAGGGTTGGAGATGCTCTAACGAAGAAGATTTAGTGCAGCAAATTATATATATAACCCAGAAAAGAAAACACAAACAAACAACAAATTACCATTCAATGAGTTTGGCAAAGGTAAGCTCAAAGAGGGTGATCATAGAATACAGGATCCAGTAAGTAAGCCATTGCCTATCGTCTTCGGGTGACTTGGTCTCAATCGCCCTAATTGAGGCATACCTGTGAAGAAAAAAAAACTCGGACAACACGATTTTTAAGTATATCCACAACTCCAATGCATTCTAAGAAGCCCAACAAACAAAACGAACACTATAATTTTTTCCATCGCAATCCATTGTATACCAAGTATAAGTCTTTTGCAAGTGCTGAATTAGACCTTGGGTTTAGCCCACACCTTAGGATTTGGTGAGAGGAAGGTCGGGGTTCGAGCTCATGGAGCAGCGACGACTGGCAACTCCTTTAGTTGTAATTTAACTTTACTAACCAACTAATATCCTACTTTACTAACAAACTAATATCCCACGAACTTGGCAAAAATAAAAAGTGCTGAAATTAGACATTCATCACCAAAAAGGAGGAAAAGAAAATGAAGGTAAAAACTTACAGAGGATAAACAAGGCTAACCACGGGCCTGCAAAAAAAAATTTTGAAAAAAAAAAAAAAAAAACACAGAATCAAATTCAGAGTAAGAAATAGCAACCATTCCTACATAATTGGCACCAGCTTATTATTAGCTCTTTTTCATCTAATCTTCGAAATTTTGCTAGGACAGGTTAAAAAAAATTACTTTATATAGGTACAACGAGCTTGAAATTTTAAAAACAAAAATAAATAGAGGAAAGACGAGAATGAGTCGAATTTTATCACAAAAAATATAGAAATTAGCTAATTTTTGTACTTGCAATTTTTTTTATTTTTTTTCAAACTTGTTCCAGTTTTTCTTTTAAATTTTTAGGATGTAGACCTAGAAAGCATACTATTTTTTACTCAAAATTGGAAAAAATTTAAAATAAAATAAAATAAAATCACGTATTTAGGGTTGGTTTGAGTAAAGTGTAGAAAATTCATATTTGAGAAAACAAAAAAGAGAACAAGAGCATAGCTGTGAAGCAAAGAACAAGAGAGAAGGGCATTGAAATTGATTTCTGTCCGACTGTCTCTGCATCAATAGAATTTGGGTAAAGTAGATAGAGAGATAGAGAGAGATACCCAGCGAGAACATCGAAGTTGTTAGCAACGACCTTGAGGAAGCTTCCAGCTCCTGATCCAGATCCCATCTCCACCACTCCACGATCTCACTCTTTCTGAATCAGAAGAAGAAGATAGAAACTGTTAAGAGTGAGTGAGGGTTTCGATCGTCGGTTTGTGTTTGTGAAGGTGGTTCTTTTCTGATTGATTATGAAAAAAGAAAATGATATTCATAAAGTTTACTTTTTAAATTTAACAATGTGTAAGCGATATTTTAGAATTCTTTTTTAAAATTATTACGTTTTGTCATAATTAACATATATATTTTTTCTAACCTCTAATAAATATTAAAATAAAAATAAGTTTAAAAAATATTAAAATATAAAATTTATTACAAATTAATAATTATATATATGAAAGATATTATATAAAATTAATTTGTATTATATATATAAAAAATATTTTATAAATTAATATTATATATTATACAAATATTTGATAATTGATTAGAATATTGGGAGTTTTTTTTTTTAAGGTCCCTCGTATTAAGATTTTATAGCATAAAGGGTATCTTATATTTTCATAATGTCTAAGGTCCTTCAAGTTGATCCAGAGAAAATTGGTCTAAATAAAATTTACGTTACAGAGAAAATTGGTCCAGAAAAATTCTGGACTTTCTAGAGAAATTTTGAAAATTTCTCCAAACAATGTAGCAACCCTTTCTTCAAGCAACCTTTGCTCTTGCTGGAAATCCAGAGAAAGTTAAAAAAGAAGAGGTTGCCAAATTTCTGAAATAGATAACTAATCAAAACATAAATATAGTTGGGTTATAAACAGAAATACTCACTCATTTACATCGAGCAAGTTAAGAAGGAAAGAGAAGAGCTTCTCAAATACTACCAGAAGCACCGTTTCAATTAGCAAAGGCTCTTTCTGTTGTGTCTTGGAGAGACTCGCTTCACTTTTTGTGCCTTCTCCAGCCTCGGTAGATGGATATGTTGATGAGCTGTGCTTTTTTAGCAGTGTGCTCTCTGCTCTCTACAAGCAATACAAAAGGTCAAACAAGGAACACAACGATTATGCACATTTAGAATCATAAACACTTGTGTTCGATATTTTTTTTTACTTTAATTTAATGATTTTCGATTTATATTGACATTAGTACCAAAATTGTACACTACTTGTGCCCTTTGTGTGAATGAATTAGTAAACCTCGTACATGTTTAATCCAAATTAGAGAATTTCTGTAGATCAACCCAAAGAAATTTCAATTCAAACCATAGAATTTCTCTGGACCAATCCAGAGAAAATTTAGTTTAAACCCGAGAATTTCTCTGGACCAACCCAGAGAAATTTCAGTTCAAACAATAAAATTTCTCTTTACCAATCCAGAGAAATTTCAGTTCAAAGCAGAGAGAGAAGATCATTTCATTGAGTGAATAAGTAACAATATCAACCTATATATATATATATATATATTACAGAAACCACATCAACTATCTTCGTCTTCAACGACACAGCAAAAATGGGTATTCCAAAGAAGCTCATAATCTGCCTCTTCCTGGCAACAACAATGGCAATCCAAACCACCACAGCTCTCATGCCCGACACACAAACCTCCCTCTGGGACCTAATGCTCCCATCAGATGACCCATTTCGCATCCTCGAACAAACCCCTCTCTCCTCCCCCAAATCAATCGAACCCCTAGCTCTCGCTCGCTGCGATTGGAAAGGAACCCCCACACCTACGTGATCACGCTCAAGGGAAGAAGATGAATTGGGTATGTTAATAGCAGCTGATTGACTCGTTCTAGACTCCGAAATGACTCTCAATTTTCGAACAAGCGAGGAAACTCCACCCAAATTGGGAATCTCCACAGACCCACCATCAGATTGAGTCGGAGAACTCTCTCTCTGGTCTTCCTCGCGAACCCAGACATCTACATTGCTAGAATTCTCAACAGGGGATGAACTCGAAATACAGGAAACCAAATCTTTAAGGTTTTGCTGAAAATAGGGGGATTGGGTTTTGGTTTCTCTGTTCCATCGATTCCTCAAAACACAACCAAAAGGCGTGGATGAGGCGATTTCGACCTGAGAAGACGCCATTTTTGAACAAGGAAGTCAATGTTTTTCTAAGCAGAGCATTAAGAAGACGAAGAAATTGATTCGATTGAAATGGGTAGAGAGAGTGAGAATGAATAGAAAAGCCATTGGAAGCTAAAGAGAAGAGAGAAAGAAACATAATCTTTCTCTTCCGGGGCTAACAAATGAAGATATCAAAATCGAGGTGGAGGGGAACAGGGTGTTGAGGATCGGAGAAGAGAGGAAGGAAGAGAAGGAGATTGAGAATGAGAGGTGGCACAGGTTTGAGAGGAAGTGTCAAATTTCTCTGATACATGTTTAGGGACTTTAAACATTAAAAAATAATTTTATGAATCTCTTCCATTACAAAAAGTGAGAGAGGGACTATAGACTAATTTTTCCTAGAATATTCACTAATCCATTAACTCATTTAAAACCCTTCAAATCACAATTTATCAATCTATCAATAAGCCATTCAATTTGTAATTTTACTATCAAACTGTACAAATCACATCACCCATACTCATAGAATATTAGAAAGAATACTAATTTAAATATTATAATTCACTATCGCAACTTTAAATGTTGATCTAATTTTTAAATTTATACAATAGTCCCCGTGAAAAAGGAGGAGAATAAAAAATATGTGGACACGTGTACTGTGTGATTAGTAGCCGACGCAGAGGACTATAAGTCAGTGCTGTCTGGAGCAGTGTGGTCCCCCAGAATCTATCTACAGACATAAAAAATCGAAGAATATGTGACAGATGTTATTTAAATAATTTGCTACTTATTAAAGAGATGAATGACATTGGAGGAGTATGATTGTTTCGATGTAGCGCGAAGCACTGAGTAATTTTACAAGGCATTGGGTTCGGTTGATGACAGGCCAACAAATTCTCCCTAATTTCCGTCCAAAAAGCAACCTCTCAGCTAATCGAACAATTACTTTAGGCGAAATTATACTCGTGCCTCTATATTTTACCTCTTTTATTTTATTTTAGTTCATACATTTTTAATGGATTCAATTTTAATAATTAATTTTAAATTTTATATAATTTAGTCTAACTTATAACATCATTAAGAAAATCATTACTAAATTAGTTGAAATTAATAATTTTGTTCTTAAAAATATAACATTTTTGTACATATTTTTTATAAAAATATGTTAAGAGTTGTAATTAGGTCTCGTTTGTCAATTGTGTATTTTAGTTAAAAAGTCAAAAAGTTACTATAAATTGTCACATCACTCTTTTTATTTTTTTTGCATATTTTTTTTTTCATAAAAAGTCAAAAAGTTATTAAAATAGTATATTCTTAAACGAGACCTAATTAAACCAAAGACAAAATCATAAATTTGTGAACAAAATCGAATCAATTGAAATTACAGAGATCAAAATAAGAAAACTCGTTCCAAAAAAATATATATATAAAGACCAAAGTATATGAACTACTATTGTAATTTATCCATTATTTTATGATCTGGTGTAGTTGTAGCATTTAATTCTCTTATTTTTAAATTGGTAACATTTTTAATAAATTTAAGTTTGAAAAAAAAGAGTTGGATTCATAGTTGATTTTTGTTTTAATAAGTTAAACCGTTCGTTTTATAGAGTCTTACATGTATATTATTTATAAAAAGATTTAAATTAATTTAATAATTGTAATTTTTTTATTTTGTTACATTTGTCTAAAAATATATATTTGGAGTAACGCGATAAAATAAAAAAGTTAAAATTATTAGATTGATCTAATTTTTTTTATGTATAATATATGTAAAGTATTTCATAAAATGAACGATTTAAATTATCAAAACAAAATTTATAATAAGCTCCATAAGCCCAAACAATTCTATGAACTTGATAACAACTCTTCTAAATGAGATTTATAAATAAATCTCCCTTTTAAAATTAGCATAAAAAGATAAGTTCGCTCTCTAAATCCCCAAAAAAAAATAAAAATAAAAAAATTAATTAAATTGAGGCACTATGTCTATGAAAACTTAAATATACAAAATTTTGGAGAAATTAAAAATTAATGGGATAGTAAAAATATATTTGTATTTTTGTGATGGTGCAAATTTTCGATGGTATAACTCCGTCGTGTGTAACCACAAGGTGGTTGGCCTAGTGGATAATGATTGGGGTTTGGAGGTTTGCTCTCTCTCAAGTTTCAAGTTCGAATCCTCTAGCTAGCAAATACATATCTTAGGGTCACAGACCGCAGGGCGTAAGCCCTATTTAGGAAGAATTATTTAGGCTGTAAAAATTTAATTTGGTGCGCATAAATTAGCCCAACATACTCTACATTAAAAAAAAAAAAAAAAAATCTCCTTCGTGTGCTTGATACAAGTGCTTCATGAGTGTTGATTTGCAATTTTCTCCAAAATTTTCACAAAATAAACCCATATGTGAGACAAAAGTAGGCTCTACATATGGACCCCTTATATGAGTCACACATTTTTATCTCATATTTCTATTTTATTCTGTAAAAATATTTGGACTAGGCTTCTCTCCAATCCATCATTTGGACTGGAGGGTGTTTGTCCAGGTCTGTAGGGCCTATCACAGGTCATGTTTCGATAATTCGAACCGTTCATTTAATTAAGTATTATGTATAAGGATGGCCATGAGGCAAGTTTGGACTGGACTTGTGCTTCCCTGTCCTGCGAATAAAATTGCACCCCCACCCAACGTCCCAATCCCACTACGAGTGAAATTTTTCAATCTTACCCCGTCTCCACAAATATTTAATCACATTTTAAATTGTTAAAAAAATTGGGAACAGTTTGGAAAAAAATTCAAACATCCTACAGAAAGGGAACCAAAAAATAAAATAATAAAAAAAAAAAGTATAACCACATTTCAAATTGCAATTTCTTATACATATTCTATAATCCAAACATGAACATGTACAAAATCATACATTACTTTTAGATTTATCTACTTTTAAGGTTTTCTTATGTCTAATTATATATATTATCTATTTATATTATTAATTATATCGGGTTGGGCTTGAATTGAGAAAGGCGATACCCGCCCTCGCTGTAGGGGATCAAAATGTAATCTACCTCTGTCTTGTACAAGTTTCAGGCGGGGAGCAGGTGGATGGGCTAAAATGGCCATCCCTAATTGTGTGTTTATCATTTATGAAAAAAAATTAGATCGATTAAATATTTATAACCTACTTATTTTAGGGGAAATTGTGAATCAGTTGAAAAACCACAAAAAATTTAAAAGCGATGAAAAAGTTTATAATTTTAATAATTAAAGTTGATAAATTTTATTATTGATTTGAAATTTATTTTGAAAATATCGGTTGAATTGTTTTTTTTTCCTTCATTTTATTGCATTTGTATTAAAAAAAAATGGATGGTCTATTTTTTAAAACAAGCGTAAATTACACTTACACCCCTGGAGATTTGAGTTTAGTACATATCACCTCCTGATATTTAGGAAATTATACTAACCCCTTGTCATTGTAATTATTTAGACAGAATGAAAACATTAAATGCATGCACTCTCTTTTTTCTTACTTTGCTTTACTCTTTTTTCTTTCTTTTTTTCCTTTCCTTTGCTTTACTTTTTTTTTTTCAATATAATTTATTTTGTTTTTATACTAAAAGTTGTTACATTTTATATAAGTAGGGGTATGTGAAATAAGACTATTAATCACAGGTGTGGGAATGTAATTTCTAAAACGACAGGGGATGAGATGTAATTGGACCAAATCTTAGGAGGTGTCAGTGTAATTTACCCTAAAATCAAATTGACCTTTAATTTTTTTTGGAGACATACTCAATAAAATGTAGGAGTTATGAATATTGGATCGACTTAATTTTTTATATGAATGATATACACAGGACCCTATAAAATGAACGGTTCGGATCATCAAACTCTAACTCGTGGTGGACCCCACTAGACCGAATAACACCCTCTATTTTAGATTTGTATTGAAGGAAGCTCAGCCCAAATATTTTTATTGTAAACATACCTGATACTTAAATTAATACAAAGGGAAAATTACACATCAATATTATCAAAAAAAAATATTTACAAAAAAAAAAACAGTAAACATTATTGTAGGGATGTTCGAGTTTAGAGAGACAAAATTATGCTAATGGTCCAATAATGGTGGAAGGGGCTGGAGAATGAGTAGCAGTAACTATTTGGGAGTTGGAGAGTGTGTAGCTAGGTGAGGGTGAAACAAGTAACTCAAGAAAAAGTGTATGGCAGTGCCAAAATGGGCAGTATCTTTCCTAAATCCCCAAAATTCCTCTTCTTGAACCTTGGGAAATAGGTCCTATTTATAGGCTTTTCATTGGTACCAAGAGGACACCAAGTGGCCAAATAGAGAGAGGACATGTGTCTCAGAGGATCACATGGAATATTCTGCCTTGAGCCACCAAGTTGAATGTTCTACGTGTCCTTCTGCATGTACTGTGTATTATCTGTTTGCTTCTGCAATTACCTTTTTTGAGCCTCAACAAGTGTAGTTACGACGGGAGTATTTGGCGCTACAACTCCCTTTTGAGCCTCAGTAAGTGTAATTGCGGTGAGAGTGTTTGCCGCTACACTTGCCTTCCCAGCTTGAACCTCAGCAAGTGTACTTGCAGTAGTGAACTTTGCCGCTGCACTTGCTTTCTTAGTTCTATTTGGCCAGTACATGCATTTGCAGGACTCCATTAGTCTGCTATCGACTACGTTCGTGTTCACCTCAGCGAAGCTTTCACCCTTAGCTACCTAACCACAAACTCCCCAGTTTCCTAAGGTGAAGGCCACAGCCAAGCCTGCTATCAGTCATGTTGTGCCTTAGTACTAAGCCTAAAGGGGCTTCGTTAGTCCTGCCTATGCGACTAAAATAGGTCCATGACCTGGGTAATGGAAAGGGAGTCCTTTATGTTCGGGCTACCCTGCTCCCATCTTCGTGGGATCGCCGTGGTAAATTGGTATATCTGGGCTTGCTATCAGCTCCAACCAGTAAGTCTTGGGGCTTGCTATCGGCGCCAAGTTAAATGAGCTTTGGGGGCCTGCTATCAGTCCTAGGCTAGTAATGCCTTGGGGCCTACTATTAGCGCCAAACATTAGCTTCTACTTGCAGAGGGGGGCCTATTTCAATGGTTGCTATCACCTTGGCAGGATATTCCCTCTGCAACTTAGTTGCTGCGATAGTAGTTGTTGCGGTAGTTATTTCCCGCGGCGAGTTTAGACGGCAGAACTGAAGATATTAGAGTTGGCGACGCCGACAAAATGCCTCTGTAACTTGGTTGCTGCAAGTGTTGCCTCTGCAACTTAGTTGCTTCGATTTTTTCTTTCCCTTAGCAACTTTAGATGGCAGCGGAACCGACAATACTTGGAATGACGGCGCTATCGAAGATACTTGGAATGGCGGCGCTGAGACAAAGTGCTTCGGCAACTTGGCCGTCGCAAGTGTTGCCTTTGCAACTTGGTTGCATTGGCTTTCTCTTTCCTTCTGCAACTTCAGATGGCAGCGGAATCGAAGATATTAGGAATGGCGGCACTGAGACAAAGTGCCTCAATAACTTTCCCGCAGCATATGTTCCCTCTACAACTTCACCGCTGCAGGTGTTGCCTTTGCAATTTGATTTAGGCATTTTCCTTCGTGGAGTCCATTTGGACCCCTGGTAGGTCGGACCTGCTTTGGCCCATTGTTGGCCCACTTCCCTTGGGCTTTTGCCCACGCTTCTTTTTCATTCTTAATCGTCTCTTTGGGGCGACCTTAGTGCTTAGGCCCATACTTAGTTTGGGGCTTAATTTCTGACACTCTACAATTATAAATATTAATAACCACAATTATAAACTTTTTTACTAATTTGTAATAATTTTTAAAAACTCCTCCTGGATAGTAATTTCCCTTAATAAAAATCAAATTTAAACACCCCCACAAACAATTTATAATTTTTTCAAATAATCAATCAAGCTTGACTTGAGTGGGAATAATTTCCAATAATTATATCTTTTCTCTTTTGGCACACTTTATTTGGATAAAGTCGGCTAGTTAAAATTTTAAAGTAATTTTTTTGATTTTTGTATAAATTAAAAAGAAAAATTACTGTGCTTGAAATGATTTTTTTTAATTGAATAGATAGTTCTTATGCATGTAATGTGATATTTTGATTTAAATTAGCTGCCAAATGAGACCGACCTTAATTTACATGTTAAATTACTCTACACTCGCATATAATTTTTCTGTCATGTCATCACCTCCAAGCCTACAAAATTATTAGCATGAACAATCTCTAGATCTCACGTCCCAAAGTACTTCGCACACACGAGGACCATCGTCTACCATAAGCAATTATGCACCTTGCAAGTGCTAGCATGCATCCCGAGTAAGACGACATCATAGGTTTACAGCCACAAGGAGCAGTACACCCTCTCATAAGCCAAGCACACAATGCGCGACAAATAACAAGGCTTAATGCAACAACCAATAACCCACAAGTGTGAGATGACCTCAATGTTGCAAGGCGTCAAGCCACTGGACCCTTACAAGCATGGCCAAACCCAAGTTAATGCCTATGAGTAGGCATGCAAGGTTGGACAGAAGGACCTCAATAGCTCAATCAACCTGGAAATACACCCCAAGATAGTAGGACATGGGGATTTGAGTGTGAGAGACTGTATTCGCAGAAGGGTCATGTTCCGGAGCTCTAATTAGAGCTGCAAAAGGATAGCTCTAATGAGCTGTCAACCAATAAAAAAAAAAAAAAAAAAAAAAGGAAAAAAAAAAAAAAAAAAGGGAAAAAAAAAAAATTAATGCTCTATTAGAGCTCTTCTTTTAGAGGTCTAAATCATTTTTGATTCGCAGAATGAGTAATGTATTTAGCGTTTAAGCGTTAACCAATATATTCTGGCCCTGGGCATTAAGAAATTCAAAAGAGTACCCAGAAAATTAGCAACATTTATGCTTCGTGTAATATTGAAGAGGAATGAATTTCTCATAATTAACATATATAACTTATGAAGTATCAACCTATTATAATGTAACATCATCAAATTACATACAAATGATAATAACGCGGATATGTATAACTAGACAATTTCATGAACACTCCTGGAATTCTATGATAGTACTCCTTTTATATGGTACAACATGAATAATACACGTGAAAAAAATAAATAGGTTACATGCTGGAGTTTCGACTTATCTGATCACACACACCGGGACACCAGAAAATTATTTGAAAAGCTCATCTTGGTGGAGAAGCAAGTTCTGGTATATTTATGTTTTTGTGTAAAGATTTGGATTCCTCAGGTTTTCGAGCAGCCAAGTTGGAACTTGCGAACCTTTATTTTTCCATCCAATGCAAGTGCCAAAACATCAAATTCCTCTACATACCATAGCTCAGTGACTGTTGCCTAAAAAAGTCAAAAAAATAAAACAAAATGATGAGTCAGAAAATCTCAGCAATGGAACTGCTGATTAAAAAGAAGAAAATTTAGTGTGCTGCTGAAGAAAAATAGTCTCAGCCATCAAAGAAATACCTCAAACCCTTGGATTTGGTTGTTTAGTTGCGTGACTAGGTCATGAAAAATTTGAATTTCTGAAGTTTTATCTGCCTCCTGAACAAGACATTAAAATGTGTCAAAATCATAGAGATGTACATTTAAAGAAAGAATTTTCAAATCATGAAACCTAGACACTACCAGAAGACCACCAAAAAACAAAAAAATAATGCCAAAAAACATTGGCTAAGAAATTTCTTATTAAGAAAACTTTAGTTTTCAAAATAGATCTGTTTCAGTTATTTTTACTTACTTCATCCCTTACCAATTAGAATTTCAGCCTATAGTTTACCAAAACTTAGTTTCCCTGAATTTCTCTAATATTACTTGCAACCTCTACATGCACGATGAACTCAGGCATCTATCAGTATCTGTAACAGTGGTGGCTGAAAGATTAGTTTGAGAGAGTGAGAGAAGCTATAGAGTGAGAGAGAGACTCTGAAATGTTTGTATTATGTTGTGTGATTTACAAAGATATGAAGGCTCTCTTTATAGAGAGAGAAAGGGGCATTGGATACCACCATTATCACCGAAAGCAAACACTATACAATTAATAATATAAAGTTAAAGCTAGTCTATCATAAAGCTATACAAATAATAATGAAGTCTGCTAAAGCTATGCTAAAGCTATTCTAACAGTGGCAAGCATTTTTTTCACAAGCTACTTAACGAGCTACTTTCAATACTCATAATAACATGACTATTGGCTACACAAACCACCACAAAACATTTTTTTCCCCTCTTGGTTGAAACAGCAGCTATAACGCGTATGCAATGCAAAGAGGTAAATAGTGATGGATGACCAGGCCAACAAATTAAACACTACTTCTAATTACCGAAGATGAAGCATTAGGATGACCGAGAAGCCTTGCAAATGAGGTATGAAGAATAGCAGCATCATACTGCAGCAGAAAAATGACTTGAGTATTAGTGAGAAGGTAGAAACCTGAACAATCACTATTCGAGAAATTATAGCAAACCCCATACTTATCATTTTCATATCATTGTGGATGGGAGAGGCAGAGTTGGCTGGCGACAGTATATTGATATCCTTAGACGAGGCACCGAGGAAAGTAACAAGATGATGGGACCTAACATTCAACAGCATTGATTTCTTTTGGTGGCTTGAAAGATAGGGTCCCGTGAATATGGAGAAAGTAAGTGCACTCAAAGGAATAATTATGGTTAAAAAGAACTTAGGGTACATTTTCAGGTCCGTCATTTGTATGTAAGGTCCCACAACAATTTTAAATGCCACTCATATCATAGAGCCACTAATATATTCTTTTTGGCTTACACAACAAAAGGTGTAGTCTAAAACATCCTCCTGCAATTGAACATGAGCTAAGAGGTTCATATGATTCTTACAAGCTGTTTTTCAGGGGCACGAGGAAGAGCAGCTCTCAATTTAGCACGAATGATTACAGGATCTGTTCCAGAGAGAACCTACAAATAAACATAATATAGTCAGATAAAGGATAAAAAATTTGTGTCTCTAATATTGGTTTTTTATACAGATTTTGAATATGTTGATTCACAGTATATTCTTAAGCAAACTTGCATTTTAGGAATTATAGATACAGAGCTGTCTCCAGAACTGATGTCAAAAGACACGAAACAAAGTTGCTATCCCTAAGGTACAAAACCTATATACATATAATATGGTGATTTTCATTAGGCTATTGTACACAGAAATATACACGAAAATAAACAATTATATAGATATATTATATACATGTATTTAAATGTAAATATATGTAGCACAAGTGTAAATTAATGGAAGTAACCTGCCAGCACCCCACAAGCACACCGGTTGAAGTCAAAACCACCCTATCTAAGACAATTGTTAACGGGCAAAGATCCTCTGCAACCGCTTTGACAGCATTCACTTCAGCTTTGATCTGATAGAGCGTGATGTACTTCAATTAGAATAAAATCATGATAAGAAGAAGAAGATATTGATGGCTCCAAAAGGTACTACCTCCTCTTCTGTGGCAGGAACAGGTGTAATGTTGTGCGAGGCATGGAACATGCTAAAATGGTACAGAGTTGAGTTCTGAAACCAGATCACTGAACAAGAAACATAAAGGCATGCCAACACATGAAAGCCAAAATACACACAAGTAAACAATTCTTGGCTATGTTTGGATCACAGATTTGGATAGGGATTTGGAAAGGAAAAGGAAAAAGTGCGGGAAACGTAAATAAAATATAAGCAATTTTTTTTCCTCCATTTCCCTCATCTTTTCCTTTCCCTTTCCAAATTCCTAATGAATACATGATCCAAAAACAACCTCAATATATGTGATATTGTTCAATCACTGATGTTTCAAGCAAAAACTACAAAGCTAGTCCTGCCTCAAGAATTTAAACTTCAAACAACAACCCTAACATCAAAAGTTTGACAAATAAGAATGCATCTTACTTTTCTCAAAGTGGGGAAGAAATATACTCCTTACAGCCTCCCTGCAGCAAGCCAACAATGCTTATATAACTTAAGCTTCCAGCTTGTTAAGACAAGAGAAAACGAAAAGAAAATGACTTCTGACAAGGTCCCAAATTTTGCAGAATGTGCAATGTAGTGTTCATGCAACTGAAGTACAACAACTTCCATATACAAGTGCATTAAAGATTTAAAAAAAAGCCCATACATATAAAGTTAGAACAAAAAGTAAATGTCAAAAATATAATTAATTCTTACGAGATAGGAACTGAGTACTCTGGACTGAGATATAAAACAGTAGCTCGCACAGGAGGGATGGCAGCCTGACAACAAAAGTAAGTTAAGCATCAGTGGCACGATGAAGAGAAATCAAATACAGTAGGAATCAGATTTAACTTGCTCACATTTTACCTTGAGGATAGGTGTTACAGATCCATCCTTTAGAGTGAAGAGATCTGAAAGTGACAATGACTGAGAAGTTTCTCCACGGTTAAGAAAAGCTGCCCCATTCTCATCCAAATCCCTTGACATCTTATCATACAGTCTAGACCTTTGTTCCGCATATGAAATTGGAGTATCTGTTCCAAGCCCTTTCACAAGTCATCAAACCACTCAAGTAGTCCATTGTATATATGAGTAAGCTTTTCAACTTGACATCATCAATATTTGTAAACAAGGCTTCCAAAATGGTATCCACATTAATCCAGACAACATGAGCAAAGAAATGTCTATTCTACTCTTTGTTGGAATCTAAAATCACAGCAACTCTGTTTTTCAAGGTCTAAACTCCTGCATTAAAGTTTTAACATACTTCCCCAAGTCCCATTTTGTTTGTCCAACATGGAAAAATCCAGCTTTTCAAGAAGACAAGCATTTAATGTGCACAGATCCACCTAATAGAGTTTTAATTTAGTAAACTCTTCCTCTATTTCACACTATTACATGCATTCACACTTATTTAAATTGGAAAATATTATAAAATCATAAGATTTACTTACCTTGACTTCTCAAAAGGACATAAGTTTGAGACATCCCAAATAGAAATAGAGTAATGCTACACAAACTTTTCTTACTTATTGATGTGACACATATCATATCGTTAAAGTGGGTCCTGTTTCAGTTTTCAAAGTTTTATTATTGCATGATATATCAGTTACAAATAAAATTTTATAAGATTTGTTAGTGTGTATGGCATTTCTACATATAAATAATGGACCAAAAATGTGAGATGAGGGGTGTAATATTAAAGGACTTGTCTTTAATTACTTCATAAAATTTGAAATTTTAAAACAACATTTATAATGACTGAGATCCAACATTTGATTCAGCCCACTAAATAACTCACGCTTACTAAACATCCACTTTATTTGATCATTCGTAACATTTCAATTTTGATCAGTTCAATTGATGGTAGAGACCTTCTGTTCTAATAACAACTCCGATAAAGTTGGCTTCAAATTGGCAAGGGACAAAATGCATCAAAATGCTTTAATCATTGTGTAACTTATGTGTATGTATTTTAATGAGAAAGATAAAACGGGGGACTCTGATCTGAGCCCTTTTGATCTTGTGGATTCTGAGTCATCCCAAATGGAAATACTGAACAAAAAATGGGGGATGGAAGGAGAATTATGAAAGGGCTTGCTTTGTATTACTTCCAAAAGTAAGAAATTTTAAAATATCATTTATGATGAATGATATCCACAATTTGATTCATCCCACTCTGTAACTTAAATCTTACTAAAAATCAACTACATTTGATTATTTGTAACATTTCAATTTTGATCAGTTCAATTAACGGTAAACAACTTCTAACACCTCCGACCAAGTTAGCTTCAAATTGGAAAGGACAAAATGCATCAAAGTGCTGTAACTATTGTGTATTGTATGTATTTTATTGGGAAAGATAAAATGGTGGACCCTGTTCCGAACCCTTTTGATATTGTGGATCTTGAGACATCCCAAATAGAAATAATGGGGAAAAAAAAAAATTGTGGGATGGTTTATTTATGATGATTGATATTTATTCATCCCACTAAGTACCTCAAGCTTACTAAAAATCAATTTTAATTTATGATTTGTGATATATGCCCAATCAGTTAGGAAAATGGTGGATTCTAAAAATCAGAAAAAGACAAAATTCATCAAAATACTTTAATCATTGTGTAACGAATGGAAAGACAAAATGGTGGACTCTAATCAAAAGAGCTAATAATTAAATAAAACTCTAGTCAAAAGTTAAGATCACTTAAAAAAATAAAAACATTATAATATGGAACAAACTCACTCCCAAGATTACCATAATCACAATCCCAAAACCGTTAATTTACTAAAATAAAATTCTACAGATGGGTTATTCATAGTTTAACATTGCGTTTCTTTCACGCAACATATACATATCATTGACGAGTAAGAGATAGAGGAATTAGCTCCACAAAACCATCAGAAGCAACATTTTACCCAGTTTTCTGCAACCCGTTTGGCGGTGGGAAACTGAACAGAAAAAGGAAAGAATCGAGAATACCTGAGCAAGATGAGGAATTTTGAAGAGCCATTTGACTTGCTCACATTTTACCTTGAGGATAGGTGTTACAGATCCATCCTTTAGAGTGAAGAGATCTGAAAGTGACAATGACTGAGAAGTTTCTCCACGGTTAAGAAAAGCTGCCCCATTCTCATCCAAATCCCTTGACATCTTATCATACAGTCTAGACCTTTGTTCCGCATATGAAATTGGAGTATCTGTTCCAAGCCCTTTCACAAGTCATCAAACCACTCAAGTAGTCCATTGTATATATGAGTAAGCTTTTCAACTTGACATCATCAATATTTGTAAACAAGGCTTCCAAAATGGTATCCACATTAATCCAGACAACATGAGCAAAGAAATGTCTATTCTACTCTTTGTTGGAATCTAAAATCACAGCAACTCTGTTTTTCAAGGTCTAAACTCCTGCATTAAAGTTTTAACATACTTCCCCAAGTCCCATTTTGTTTGTCCAACATGGAAAAATCCAGCTTTTCAAGAAGACAAGCATTTAATGTGCACAGATCCACCTAATAGAGTTTTAATTTAGTAAACTCTTCCTCTATTTCACACTATTACATGCATTCACACTTATTTAAATTGGAAAATATTATAAAATCATAAGATTTACTTACCTTGACTTCTCAAAAGGACATAAGTTTGAGACATCCCAAATAGAAATAGAGTAATGCTACACAAACTTTTCTTACTTATTGATGTGACACATATCATATCGTTAAAGTGGGTCCTGTTTCAGTTTTCAAAGTTTTATTATTGCATGATATATCAGTTACAAATAAAATTTTATAAGATTTGTTAGTGTGTATGGCATTTCTACATATAAATAATGGACCAAAAATGTGAGATGAGGGGTGTAATATTAAAGGACTTGTCTTTAATTACTTCATAAAATTTGAAATTTTAAAACAACATTTATAATGACTGAGATCCAACATTTGATTCAGCCCACTAAATAACTCACGCTTACTAAACATCCACTTTATTTGATCATTCGTAACATTTCAATTTTGATCAGTTCAATTAACGGTAAACAACTTCTAACACCTCCGACCAAGTTAGCTTCAAATTGGAAAGGACAAAATGCATCAAAGTGCTGTAACTATTGTGTCGCACCCTCAAAAGGTGTGCCCAATCTTTCAAAAAAAAGGCGTGCCATCAAAAGACGTGCCCAATCCATAAAAAGGTGTGCCAGACATGATGGCGAGGCGCGTGACTACCTTGGCTTGCGCGCCCATTTTGTCGTCGGGCGTCAAGTGGCGCGTGATACGCGTGTCTGCCTCAGCTATTTAACCAAGACGGAGGCTGAGGCTGAGGCCGAGGCAGAGGCTGAGACAAAAAACCTGCGAAAATCCTTTGAAAAACTCGTCTGTTTCTGAGAGAGAAACTCTGTAACACCTGCGAAAATCCTTTGAAAAACTCGTCTGTTTCTGAGAGAGAAACTCTGTAACACTCTGTTGCCCAGAAAATGGCCTCTTCTTCCTCTTTTTCCCGTGGTCTGCTCACTCTCTTTCCCGACCTCAACGAGTCAACAAGAGAGATAACTGGTGCGGTGGCCCGTGAACCTCAACCAAACACCACTGGTTTTGCTCCGTTGAACTTTCCGATGCGGTCTGTGGAGCAAAAAATGGCGGTACAAACTGATATTGAGGCCAATCAGTATACTTTGAAGTCATGTGTGGAGACCATGACGGCGGTCACAAACTTGTCGCACCGGCTGCAGAGTAGGACAAATGAGGTGCAGCAGTTAAACGCCCAGCTGGCTCTGCTCCAGCGCATGTATAAGGATGCGCGAGCAGAGATAAGTGTGTTAAAGGCGGAAAACAATGAGCTGAAGCGGAAGGCCACCGTGATGTTCCGATTTGGAGGGCCACCATATGCTGTAGTGGAGGAGCAGGAGGGAGTGAATGTGCTCGGCGGTGTGGGAAACACAGAGGCAACACCGGCAAGGGCCGTCCAGGACGGAGGCAAGAAGAAAAGACCGGCGGAAGAGGCGAAGAAGTGAGATCGGTGGATGGCCGTCTGCAGAAAAGAAAACAAATCTGTTGTTTGTGGGTGTCTTGGTTTTTTTTTTTTTTATTTATTTTTTTTTATTTGGTTGTGGTGTAAAATGGTGATCGGGGTTGATCCCGGAGATGAATAAAATATGAGTTGTTGTGCAAATTTGTAATTGTTTTTTTTTATTTTTTATTTTTTATTTTTTTTTATGAGCACGGTGATGATGAATAGATAATGATGAATAAAAATAATAAATTTGGGAGTGGGGAATAGGGCGAATCAAGAGCACCAATTAAGCTTGATAATAAAAAAATAAAGTTATAATAAAAAATAAAGTTTGAGCGGTGGATGGTTTTTTTTTTTTTTTTGGGAAGAATAATAAGAATAATAAAAATAATAAAAAGGTATTAATGGGGAAAGTATGTGCGCTGGTGAGTGGAATAAATGAAGGCACATGATGGATATGATGAAAGTGGGTCTGATGGAGAGGAAAAGGGACCAGAGAGAGAGGGTCGAAAAATGTGAGTGGTGTGGGTCGGTGTCGGGCTGTCTGTATTGAAAATGCACTCATTCTGACGGGATGGGAGCCGCGAAGATGAGGATTGAGAAGAGAGCTAAGGCGGCTGAGAAGGCTTGGAGAGCCGATGTGGTGGAATCGGGTTGTTTTTGTGTGATATCCAAGAGAGAGGTTTGTCCGAGAGGCCAAGAAGATGATCCAAGGTGGTGTGGCGGTGATGTGGTGTTTGTCGCCGGTGGGGACACCGGAGCCGGAGATGAGGACATTCTCTCTCTCTCTCTATATATAGATGTGTGTGTATTTACAGAGAGAGAGAGAGTTTTTTTTTTTTGATGTGTGTGTCTTGTATCAGTGTGCCGATGGAGAGAGCCGAGAGGGAGAGCCCGAGTCAGCCCATGTCTGTTTTGTGAGTATGTTGAGTGTATCAATGTTTAGAGCCATGGGCCACGGTGGCATGGCTGTGCAGCCGCAGCGGTGATGGTCCTTGGTTCTTTTTTTCTCACGCTCGTGGCAGAGAGAGGGAGATTGGTTTCAGCTGCTACTGCTGTGTATCTTTGTCATGCATGGAGAGAGAGTGCATGTGTGAGAGTTGTGCTGTGTGTGTCATGCTGTATGGGTGTGGGGGTATGATAGGAAAGGTTGATGCCGAGAGGGAATATTGAGCGTGTGTGTGATCCCTGTGCTTTGCCTCCTCCGTGCATGTGTGTGATATGTGTGTTGTGCATCAGTGCATGGTGTGTTGGGTCTGTTGAACATAAGACCAGTGAGAGAGAGGAAGAGCTGCAGAAAGAGAGCAGAGGAGCTCGGCGAGCTTGAGCATGGAGTTTACATGGCCTTGTGCTGGGAGGGGAAGATGAGTACATGTGGTGGTGTGAGTGTTTGTCGTCGGCGTAGCGGCGGTGAGCACAGAATGGGAGGCGGTCGGCAACTGGGTTGGACAGGTGGATTTGGGCAATGATAGGAAGGTATGTGTTGGAGGTTTCAATTGGTTGAGGTCCGGCAGGCGGTCAAGGCAAGGTTGCCGCCCGCCGGAAGGCGAAGAACACCAAGATCTTTAACCTATAGCTCTGATACCATGTAAGATAAATTGATAGAAAGAGAATTAATTGTATGTATTATTGATTGATATCAGTTTTGATGTATTGTATGTACATTATATAGGAGATAGAGATGTGAAGTGGAGGTGGAGTGGTGGAGTAGGTGAAGTGGAGTGTGTAGTGGAGTAGGTGAAGTGGAGGTGGAGTGGTGTAGTGGGTTAGGTTTAGTTATTTTTCGTTTTTTTTTTTTAGTGGATATTTTTAAAATTTTAAATATTTTTTTCTTATTTTTTTAGATGTACTTTATTTAGATGTATCTAAAAAGTAAAAAAATTATAAAAAAATATTTTTAAAAATTAATAAATATATAAAAATATAAAAAATATATTGAATTCTCGTATTTTTTTTTATATTTTTGATATTTAGTGAATTTTTTAAAAAAAAATTATTTATTTTTTATTTTTTAAGTATATTTATGTTAGGTATGTCTAAAAATTAAAAAAATTGCTAAAAATATTTTAAAAATTCAGTAAAAATAAAAAAATATGAAAAATAAGAAAATAAAATTTTCTGAAAAGTATTTTTGAAAAATGATAACCAAGCATTGTGGATGATTTTTTAAAATTAAAATAAGGTCGCAATTTTTTTTTTCTTTCAAAAAATAGTTATATCTGGTTTTCTTTTGTTTTCTTTATTTTCATTTTTGGTTTTATTTTTTTGTATTTTTTGAAGCCAAAATAGTGAAAAATTACTAATTGATAATTATATTATTCAATTAGTGAAATAAATTTTTATTTTTATTTTACTTTAATGCACTTTGTTTAAGAATAATTTTTTCAACTGAACAGAGTAATGGTTTTGTTTTGTTCTCTTTGTTTTCATTTTATGTTTTATATGTTTTGTATTTTTTGAAGCCAAAATAGTGAAAAATTACTAATTGATAATTATATTATTCAATTAGTGAAATAAATTTTTATTTTTATTTTACTTTAATGCACTTTGTTTAAGAATAATTTTTTCAACTGAACAGAGTAATGGTTTTGTTTTGTTTTCTTTGTTTTCATTTTATGTTTTATATTTTTTGTACTTTTGTAAGCCAAAATTGTGTAAATAACTAATTGATAATTCTATTATTCAATTAGTGAAAATAATTTTTTTTATATTAATTTAATACGTTTTAAAAATAACAATTTTTTACACCTTCATGAGTCTATTGTTTTCATGATGAGTAATAAATGATGGGAAAGATGGAAGAAAATGATATAATTTTATATTTTTTAAATCATAATTATATATAAAAAAATTAAAACTAAATACAAAAAAGTCATAATTAAGTATTTTAAAATAATTTTATAGTTAAAAAAATAATAATAATAATTGAAGAATAAAATAACGTAATAGTATAGAATGTTAGAATTCTCCATAATTGATAGACTATAGTAACGAATTGATTCTATTCCTATAACAATTACTATTTCAAATTTAATTTTCTATAATAATTAATATTTTTTTAATGATCTAGCTTTGTTCCATAGTGAATAATTAATAATTCTATTATTCAATAATTAAATTGTTTTTGATAAGAAAAAATTGTTGAAAAGTCCAATCTATTATAACACATTAGGTTAAATTGTTAAATTCTATTATAACACATTAGGTTCTATGAGTATTTTTTCTTAGTAAGAAGTCCACTCTTTGTAAAATATTGTGGTGAAAAGTCTATCTTATTATTTTGAATGACATTTTATTTTTAATTTTATCCCTTAATATATTTGTTAATTTTTTTTATATGTTCAATTTTTTCAAACTTTTCTGTTTAAATTTGTATCTATCTATTCAATTTTTTCCCTATCCGTTCAGTTTTTTTTTTCTTTCTCTTATATATTGAAATTATCTGTTAAAATTATATTTGTTGAAATTGCTAATTTTTTTCTATCTGTTGAAATTTACAAAGTGTATTTTTGAATTTCACTCCTTTCTAGATCTCTCATTTTCTCAACCAACATTGCTCATGCCTTTTTCTATTTTTCTTGTCTGTCAAATTTAAACAAAAACAAATCGAATCTAATTTTCTTTTCTTTTTTTGTTGGTTCAATACAACAATAGTGATTCAA